CGCTGGCCATGGAGCCCCTGCTGGGCCGCGTGCTGCCCACGGACGGCCCGTGGGGCGGCCGTGACCACCACCACCTGCGCAGGGGTTGCGCCCAGGGCCCGCCCTGCCACGCTCGCTCACCCTCGCCCACAGCCCCGATGCTGGCAGACACCGGAGAGGATGATGCGGACTGGGGTGTGGCCTTCTGCCCGCCCTTTGAGGACCCACTGGGCACCTCTCCCTTGGGGAGCCCGGGGGCCCCGCCATCCCAGGACGAGGAGGAGCCAGGGGAGGCTGAGGCTCGGAGGGCCACCCAGCGTGGACACTGGAGCTCCAACACGTCGTCCAACAACAACAGTGGGAGCCGCGACCCGGAGTCCTGGGACCCGGGCTATGCGGGTAGTTTCACAGACAGCTTCGCGGATGACCGCCTCAGCCCCCCCCAGACCCCACCGGCCTCCCCAGAGGCCGGCCGCCCCCCAGAACAGGAGGACCCGGGAGGGTCTCTGCCTAGGCCACACGCAGCCTGGCCTGGCCGGGAGCCAGGCCGCTGCCTCGGCCTTCCCTCCCTGCGCCCTGCCCCGGCCGTGGCCCCCGCCTCGCTCCCCTGGACAGAGGAGGCCGTGGGTGGGGGGCACAACCCCCAGGGGGAGCCCGTGCTTGCCCGCGAGGCCATGGGCGTCGCAGGGCCCCCGCTGCCCCTTCCTTCTGTCCCCTCCCCCTCCCGCGAGGGAGCCCCGCTGCCCGCGGAAGAGGCCAGCGCTCCCCACGTCCTTCCCACCTCACCCACACCTGCGGGCGGAGTGGCCACCGCCCCCGGTGCCGGCAGCCCCACTCCCGAGCCGGCGGTGCCCGGCAGCCCCGCTCCGGAGCCGGCGGTGCCCGGCAGGGAGGAGGAGGGCAGCACGGGGGCCACCTCGGGCGTCTTTATCGACCTGTCCGGGGAGGGCCCCCCGGCTGGGAAGCCAGACGCCGTGTCGGCCCCACTGTGCGCGCGGCAGAAGCCAGCAGGGACCCCTGACTCCTTGGACTCGCTGGACACCCCGTTGGCAGCTAGCGATGGTGGCTGTGAGGTCCTGAGCCCGTTGGCCACCGCCCCCGCCGCCGGGCAGCCCCGCGCGCTGGACAGCGGCTACGACACGGAGAACTACGAGTCTCCTGAGTTTGTGCTCAAGGATGCCCACGACACAAATGAGGAGCCAGCCTCCGGAGGCGAGAGCCCGGGGCCTGAGACCCGGCTCCCCGCCGCCCCGGGCGGCCTGGGTGAGAAGAACCCCTATCGAGACTCGGCCTACTTCTCCGATCTGGACGCTGAGCCGGAGGCCCCCCTGGACTCTGAGAAATGCAGTGAGGCCCAACTGTCCCCACTGGAGCTGGGCCTGAAGAGCCCGGCGCAGGCCGCCCCGGCTCCCACTGGGCCCGGAGGGCCGAGGGTGGCACCAGGTTCTGGCCTGGAGGAGGTGCTGTCCCCCGGCAGCTCCAGGTCAGAGCCTCCTGGGGACCAAACGCCAGTCGAGGTGGGGCCTTCCGAGTTTTTCCTGCTGACCCCCGTTCTGCTGAACGCGGGTGGCGGCGGCCCTGCGCCCCAGGGGCACGCCCCACTGGGCTCCCTCAGACCCCCGCTCTGCCTGGCTCTCCCCGGACACCCGAGGGCCTCGGAGGGCCCGCCGGAGGAGGAGGAGGAGGACAGCGAGGACAGCGACGCATCGGACGAGGAGCTCCGCTGCTACAGCATCCAGGAGCCGAGCGAGGACAGCGAGGAGGAGGCGCCGGCCGTCCCGGTGGTGGTGGCCGAGAGCGAGAGTGTGCGCAACCTGCGCAGCCTGCTCAAGACGCCCGGCCTGCTGCCCGAGAGCCTCCGTGAGGACCTGGAGCGCAGGAAGAAGGCCGTGTCCTTCTTCGACGATGTCACGGTCTACCTCTTCGACCAGGTAGGCAGGCCCGGGCGGTGGGGCCGTGTGTGCGGGACTCAGGGCCCGTGGGAGGGGGGGA